TTCTAGAGGAAAGGACATTTCAGACAATCAAAGACAATTTTCTTACTCCAGGAACTTTTAATATTCACTCACATGTTGCCAAAAATAATGTAAAAAACGTTCTGAAATCAATGTACTACAATTACTTTAATATATTGTATTAAATTATTTAAACTATTTAAACATTAATTTAAATCCATTATTGCAACACCTTCCAGGTATTTTACTTATTGTTATCCTTGTAATTACAAATCACAAATCAGCAAATCAGCAAGTTTTCTCACATTGTAAGGCTAACTGCAGCCATTTTTTAATAAAGGTTCAGTGTGTCTCACCAACACACATCGTGTGTATCACAGAGGTCTAATAAACCTGCTGAATGCATCTACTTCTGCATAAAACATTTGCAAAGCCAATTTTTAAATCTATTTTCAATGGTCAATTCTTTACAGTCAATGTTTACTAGCTAGCGGTCTTCTTCTTCACTGCTTTTGTTGGAGCATTGCTTTGCTTCTTTGCACAGTAACGCACCACGTGTGCATGTGCATCACCATGCCCGGCGGGGTGCCGTCAAGTCGGACACAGTCTACCTGCGTGAGCTTACTGGGAGCAGAGATCAATGACCGATCTCGCGTCATTTGCAAAGAAAAATACCTTATGTTAAGCCCAGCATGCATCACGCACCTAAAACTGTGGCGCACTCGTAAATGCATTGCTCCACAGCGCCACTAGTGGTCAAAAACTGGATAGGGTGTCTTTAAACTGTGATTGCTGTTTGCTGAGAGACATTCACTTCAAGTTCAAGTTTGTAGCATGAGCAAAATCTAAGCAAAGTAAGTGCAACATAGAAAACATCAGTTTCATGGAAACCCAAATTCACCTCAAAAAACAAACAAGAATCAAACGTCCGAGGCATTCTAAAATAAAAGCGCAGCAGGGAGGAGACACGTCTGACTTCACTGGCGGTTTGAGTTGGTGTGCTCAGTCTTCCAAGGCTGCTCAGTATGGTTTCTTCTGCTCAGAAGATACAAATACACACACAGATCATATTGTTTGGCATTGATGAATCAAAACAGCTCTGATAAAGGGAACAATAAAAATGATGTGTTTAATCTTACCGCCGCTGATTTTTTTCTTGCTGTGGAGAAAATAAATGATAATCAATCTCTCAGTTATCAACACTTCACATGTCAAAATGATATGAACACAGTGGTTAGTGATGATTTAGCGTTGACTGTAATTTGCCTGCACTATACATAACATGATTGCAGTGATGAGAGTCATACCTCTAATTAACCCTTCTTTTACATTCTTTCACAATCTGTTTGTGTGTAATGTGTTTAAGTCAAACTCAATCAAATGAAACTATTTGTCATTATGACAGACGCTTGGACTCAGAGACTCCTCACACCGATGATGTTCACATATCCTTTTATCAGCCTGTTTGTACGCTCACCTGCGTACAGGTAGGGCAGCATCAAATACAGGATGGCCACCAGTATGACCACAATGAAGCCAACAGTGAAGGCGAACATCCAGCTGCTTGGCTCTGAGCAGAGAAAACAGACATGACACTGGGCGTCAGATATGTTCCTCTGCTGCCACTGTGTGGTGGCTCACTGAACTAGTCCGCTCACCTTCAACAGTCAGGATGAAGCTCTTTCTAATGGGCACTCTCAGGGACTGATGGGAGACGCTGCATGTAAACTGTCTCCCCGAGGCCCTGAGCGAAGCCTTGAGGTAGAAGAAAGCGGACAGCGAGAAGGTCTTGTCCTGGTTGTGTTTGTGGCTGGACAGCAGAACGTTCTCCAGCACCTTGGGGAGAGGAGCGCCCACCCTCTGGCCTGACACCGCCGGGTCCTGCTCGTACCAAACTATCTCCACATCCAGGGGGTAGTAACTCTCTGCCTCACAGATAACCTTCTGCTCGCCGTCCTCCTGCAGTGTGAGAGTGGGTCCAACGTTGAGGGAGACACGGGGAGGCTCTGAGGAGAGGTGAGAGTCAATTAAATAAAAAGGTGTCAGCAAGAGGTTTCTGTTACGATAGTGGTTTCTCACATTTTATAGACCAATTGATTAATCAGTCAATACAAAGAAAATCTGAGAGACAAACTGATAATGAAAATATGGGTAGTTGCAGCCTTACACTGTATGTGAATGTATAGAAGTCACAAAGTTCGGCCTGGGTAAAGTTAATTAATTAGAGCAAAATGGTAAAAGTAAAGCTCTATTATACAACTATTATTTGCTTTCTTGCTTCTGCAGTTAGATGAGAAGATTGATGCCAAAGCCAAAACCAAAGCTGTCTTCTAAAGTCATTTTGCCAACTGTCCAACTGCAATCTCTGCGGTCTAAAAACTGGTACAGCGTTCGCGCCTCTCTGTCCTGCTGTTATTGCCGCCATGTCTGTACTAACCACGACCCCTCCACTTGTCCAAGCACTCGCCTCTTTTGTTGAGCTGTGACGTTTTTTTATTAACCTCCCCCCGAATCAGGTTAGCTGTTTGCCCTTGTTTTCAGTCTTTGCGCTAAGCTAACCATCTACCGGTGTTGTAGTTTCAAATGTGCTGTACAGACATGAGCGTGGTGTCAATTTCATCATCTAAACTTTTGGCATGAAAGCGAATAAGTGTATTTCACAAATATAAAAGATGCCTATTTTGATCTTCTACTACTACAATTAGCAGTGGTGTAGCAGGATCACCACTGACACAAGCAATGTTTTGGACCATAGGGAAAAAAGACAAGGTTCACTTTGGAGAGAGCGTCATGGAGAGGTCAAACACTGCAGGGCAACTGAGCAAACGCCATCCACTGATGAAGCCCGTGACATGCTGTTAAAAGCTCCAAAAAAGGCTATTAAGTGAACCAAGCAAGTTTTCTTTAAACAGAAGATCCCCAAATATCAATCTAGCCTGACATTTGACACCAGGATCCTCTCTCAGATTATTCCTCACCTTCGATATGCAGACTTATATCCAGACTGACGAACAGCGGATTCACTGACACCGAACAGATGTACGAGCCTTCACTGCTCATCTTGGTGAAGGGCAGGGTATAGGAAGCGTCCCCGCCTGCGAGGCTCTTCAGCCCAACGCCAGTCCCCTGCGTCTTCCCTGAGCGGCTGGTATGACTGAAGAGTTGGATTCTCTCTCCGCGATGTTGCCAGTGCCACTCCACAGTGATGTTTGGGCCTTTGTGGTCAATGGCAAACTGGCAGTGGAGCTTTTGTTGGGACCCCAAGCCCGCTTTCACTGATGGAGTTTGGGTTTTAATGACCATGGTAGCTATGGAATGACAGAGGCACACATTTAGAGACACATTTTAGTTCTAAGATGTGAACACAGACAAGACTAAGATGTGGGACTTACACAAGTAACAAATAAATACAGACTTGAGTGTTACCTATTGTGGTGAGTATCTCTCTGTCCCCGATAGCAGACCAGCTGCGGTAGTCCTGCTGTCCTGAGGGGGGTTGGTCAGATGGGTGTCTTAGGAAGCCTGTGACTGTGAACAGGCCCTTGGTGTGTTTGAGGGTGCAGCTGAACCAGCGGTTGTACTCCTGGGCCGCCTGGACCGGCCAGCGGACATGGATGCCTGCTGTACTGTATCTACGCAGCCCGCACTCCAACTGCTCTGCCTCAGCTCCCTCTATGTACCGCCGCAGGTCCAACTTGGACCCTAGAACAGAACAGAAGACAATAGAAAAACAATAGTTTTCAGTCCGTTACTCCTTTGGGCTACAGGTCTTACCCGTGACCAGGAAAGTGATGGCATGTGGGTTAACCGGGGCGTCTCCTTGTTGACCAAACTGCAGCATAGCCTCTCTGTGGATGAGCTGAGTCTCGGTGTGGCCCTCATTATTCACAAACACATGTTCATCAGTGAACTCACAGGGCAGCCATGGTATCTGATGGACACACTGCACACCTGAGACAGAGAGACACTGAGTGAAGCAGTACTGTCAGGTAACAAAGAGTATGCTATAGTACAGTATATTACAGCAGGCTACAGTGTGGTATAGTTTACTGTTAGTACAGTGTTGTATGCTATAGTATAGTATATTAGAGTACAGTGTGGTATAGTTTACTGTTAGTACAGTGTTGTATGCTATAGTATAGTAAAACAGTGTAGTAGTCATTTCATTCATGTTATGTTAATCCACTTAGAAGCTCCAAAAACGCCACCATCTGTGACAAAGCTGAAGACGATAACTTACCTGCACACAGAAACAAGTAAATAAGTAACTTTAATATTAACGTTAGCTCCATGATTAGTATTTAGCAGAAGTCGCTCTCTGTTGCTCGAGGACCACACGGAGTTGTTCACAGTTTGGAGGGGGGATACTTTCACTTTCCTTTCACGGGGAAAGAAAGCTTGCTGTACCTCTCCCGTCACGTGTTATTAGGCAGATTACATTTCACTGAGAAAGCATTTAAACATGTGTACAACGTATGTGACGAATATGCAATATTTTAAATGACGCACGAGTGTCGGTGTCCTAAAAACTGTGTAGGCTAATTTAGCCGTTCGTGCGCTATCGGCTGCGTTCAGTGTGTGTACGAGTGTATGCAGTGTTGAAACATGAAACCAGGAAAGCAAAGACAAAGCACACATTTCCTTATAGCAGCACCGAAAACATTGAGTGAAAATTCATCATGAGGTGAAAATAATTTAATGTAACGAAGGGTTTCGTTTTTACGAAACGTGCAGTACTGACCTGGTCCTGCGGTGGCGCTGTGAGGAGCTTTCTGACAGCAGCGGGTCCCTCTTGTCTCTCTGACACAGCGGAAGCGCTCTTTACAAAACTGTTGACATGCTGCTGAAAAACGCGTGAAAAGCGTTATCATGTTGGCAGATTTGTTCTGTTTGACAGGCTACATTGCGGGATTTTGTACAGTACTCGTGATTTAGTGCACTTGGTGGACTATTTTGACCAGACACGCTCATGAATGTGAATTTAAATCTGACTAAAATTAGCTGATCCTACCTGCATGTAGCTGACGTTACGTCCAGCAGCTATGGCACTGGTGCTGAACAAAGGTAACGTTACCTTTATATACAGTTAATAAAACTCAGTTCGTAAACGCGTCTCCCTATATAGGACCCTATATTTAATTTAAAATGTTTTATTTTTAAGCTGCAATTGTGTAACTAAGCAGCTAATTAAGTTATCCCCATGGTTTACTAATCTAGTAGTTAGTTAATTCGCGAAACATAACTTAAATGCAAAACTTAAGAGTTATATAATATACTAACTTAAGAGTTATATATATACTGTAAGAGTTAACAATAGTTGTTATATGATATTGTTCTCTTCTGCTTTGTAAATTAGTCCTATCCCGAATTGTAAAATGGCTAACTAATATCTAATACATAAGTTAGCGGCCAGAATAAGCTTTTCAGTCATTTTACAAGAAGTAAATACTCTGATTTCAGCTTCTTTTATCTGAGGATTTGCTTTCATTCCTGTTCTTATTTAAGGACTATAACGTTACAATATTATCTATTATGATGCCACTTTAGGCTCTGGGAAATTAAAACAGGCATTTCTCACTATTGTATGACATTAACAGATAACACTGCTAGACAATCACCTGCTAACTCATTGATAATGGTAAAGTGTCAGTGGCTTAGTAGTTGTGTTAACACTCCTGACTCGAGGTGTGGAATTGGTTAGTTGGCGGTGCATTCCTGTTCTTGTGTGTTGTTTCTTTGAATGAATGAAATATTGCTTTGCTTTCCTTAGTTTGCTCTCATGTGCTTTCAGATTCGGCCGTTCTTCAGGGTGCGTTCCTCCTGGCTGATAAGCTGTGTCTCCCCTCATCGCTGTCCTCCCTTCAGAAAGCGGACTGGAGCAGGGTGGGACGTCCTGTCCTGGAGGCAGTCAGAGAAGTCTGTGGACAAGATGAAGTCAGTGCGTCCACAACGGCTGTCACCTGGACAAAGAAATTAGTTTGTGCTGTGTGGCTCAAGGTGTTGTGTAGGGAGTATGGAGAAGACGTGGAGATGGCCTGGAGGGAGAACCCTTTCTTCCCCCTTCAGAACGGCCTCCCGGAGGTCAACCATGTTGTCCTGCTGGAAGTGGTGAGGTCGATGGCAGCTGCTCAGGCATTTGCCCATTTCCTCTTGTATCTTCCTCAGTCTCAGATCTGTACTGAGCTCGAAAGGCTAGTGCAACACGTGAGGAGCAGCCCTACTAGAGAGGACGATGTCCGACTTTTTCTGGAGGTGTGGTGGGAGCTGTGGAAAGGCCCAGATGAGCAGAAAGCAGGAGGAGATGATAGCATTGAAGTGATGTTCGCTAGACAGTTTGCTCGTCTCTCCCCCAAGTCTTCCGGTCTGACCCCTCAGGCTGCCAAGAGGTTAAAGTTAGACACGTCAGATCTACCAGGATCATCGCCAGCCTCTGATGTCCTCCACATTGTCCTTCATGCACTTAAAGACATAAAAGATCACATATCTACAGCAGATCTTTGTCTCCAGGCCCTCTCCATTTCTCTTGATGCTGTTCACACAGCCTTCCTGATAGACCAAGCCGTTGTACTTTCAACCGAAGAGAAGATGCACATCTTGTCTAAAGTCGTCAGCATCAGAGAAAAGAATGATGAGAAACTGAGCCCTGAACTTATTCGGGAGGCTCAGAGAGACCTACGTGCTTCTCTAACACCCTCTAAGTTTCACCCCAGCAGGGTGAAGCTCGGTGAAGCCATGAATATTATAACAGAACTTGTGCAGTTTTGGCAAAACAGTGGGTTCCTGAAAGTGTCCTGTAGCTCCAATCCTAGCTACTCTGCATTCAAACTACAACAAAGTCTCCAGAGAGTCCTGACAGCTCTACAGAAAGTGCCTGAAACCATGACTGACATGGATGATCAAGAGACTGAGAAGAATGTACTCGGAGGTTTGCTGGAGTCACTGGCTTTCCCTGCTCTAGAGAGCACCCCCGAGGTGAACGCGAGGGTCGCCGCGATCATCATCAGCCACCGCCTGGACGACTATCAGAACTTTGCGGTGTTATTTGCCGGCGAGAAGACCTGGTCTGCCTGGGATGAGCGCTGGGTGGACTGCCTGCAGAAGAACCAGGTAGTTTTCCAGCAGTGCGACACACTGATCAAGCTGACCTCCACCCTCATGAGGAAACTCCACAGTGGGAGTGCGAACGTAAACCAGTGCAGGAGGCTGATGAAAGTCATTGCGGACATGTTCTCTGCGCTCTCCTTAAAAGACAAGAACACGGCGTTGGCTGCCATGTTGAGACTCTCCAGCAAGGGGTTCTTCGGGTGTTCCGTCCCCTCTGCCGTGACTGACGGGTTTGAGCAGGAGCTCAACATGGCCTTCAACTGCATCATCCAAGGAGGGGGTGGAGCGCCGGCAGCGGCGTCTCAGGGCAACCTGAACACAGCCGTCTCTTTAGTAGCAAGAGTTGCGTTTCAGAACCCAGAGGCTGCTCTGCGGTCTTGTTGTCATTCAGCTATTTTCAATAAAGGTGCTTTCTCTCTCATGGCTAAGATCCTGCAGCAGCTGCCTGGACTCAGAGGACGGAGGGAAAGTGAAACTCAAAGGGATGAGGAAGAAAGACAAGAGGCTGGGGGAGATATAGATGAAGGAAAGGGTGCTCTGAGTGGTAGCGGCCTCCTCTGCAGGTGTCTCCAGGAGATGATCAACACCAAGTCACTGTCAGCCAATGAAAAAGAGCAGTTCCTCAAATATCTGGGTCTGCTGATGATGCCTGTCATGACAGGTGACGGAGAAGAAAGGATGCAAAGCTTTCTGCCACCTGAGGAGGTCGTGAACGTCTTCGTCCTGCCTAACCTCTCCACTGTGGGTGAGTGTCCTAAAACTGCAAATTTATCTTGTCCCAAGCTTAATTGTAAGTTTACCAATCTTCTCTCTTTAAAAACTGCACATACGTAACTATAAATGGAATTTTAATGAGGCAGCCAGACCATTATGATGGTTGGTATCAACGATATAAATAAAAAAGAGAATACTCCCGATCATAGCTCACTATTTTTAAAATGGCTATCATCCGCTTCTTCCAAGATGTATCAGCCATGGTTTGACATAATCTTGACTCCACTCTCTAGCGTTTTCTGACTCTTCAACCGCATCTCGCATCACTTCATGAACAAATGAAGTTTGCTCAGTTGTCTTGGAGGTTGGTTTAAAGCAAGGAGAACAGATTAATTGCTCTGTAGACGGAAACCATCGTAAAGTGGTTTAAACCTACCTCCAGGACACTTGACCAAACTCAATTTTCTGATGTGAAGTGTGGTTAAAAGTCTCTAAAATGCCCGCAGTGGCATTTTGCCTTGAGGGTCCTGCCCCCCCAGTTTTAGAACTACTGAGGTAGACTAATAACGATTCACATACGTTTGAAGGTGTCTCTAGCTTTGTCTGCTGAGAACACAGAAACGTTTATGTTTACGCTGCAAAATGTGTTGCTTGCATATCTTAGTCAGTTATTTAATAATACATTTTATTTCTCGTTTTTTTTCCTGCACCGACTCCTGAGGGAGACATCTGGCATTTTGAGATAATTGGCAACGGCTGATACCTGCGCTCACAATATATCATCCTTAATGACAGGAGATCTAATCTAACACCATTAGTAGACCAATTTATTTTTCTATTTCATTAATCAATTAAAATGTGTTATTGTCCCAAGAAAGATTCTTCCTTGAAGACAATAAAGTTTATCTCATCTCATCTCTCATCTAAAACAACACGCTACTGGCTAAGATTAGCATGTAAATTAGATTGGAGCTTTACATGACGTTTCTTTGTCTTGTTATTGGCATTATATATCGGCCATCAGCCTTCCTGCTCTCTCAATATCGCCATCAGCCTGGACCAACACTGTGACTCTTTATCTGCTAAATGCTCCACTGTGTTCACCAGCTAGTCGCCACCTTTGTCTATTTGCTGCCTTTGTGTTGGGCAAGTAGTGTACAGTGGAGGGTGGTTTTTTATTTTTTCTCCTGAAACCAGCGGGTGAGAGTGAACCAGAACAGTAGAGTTGTGGGCTGTAAAAATAAAACAATGAGCTGAAAAATGTAAAAATTCTCTGTGGAGCTTCAGAGTCTGCGATATTCATTTTGCAGGTTTGTCACTATAAGCATCACCTTTCACATTGTCTGTGGTTATTTAATCTGTTGCTAATGTAAAAATGATTGACTGGGGCAGCTTTAAGGATTACTTATCCAAAGTGTTTGTTTACGTTATGTGTTTATGTAAAGAAAATCCTTTTGAGCTGCTCCAACCTGCTTCTTTGCATTCCCTCCAGGTCAGAGCTGCTTTGATACAGAGCTGAGTCTGCAGCTTCTCCACATTGCTTTGTCTGCGGACGTCCAGGAACAAGCCTCGTCTCCTCACTGGGTGTTGGACTGCTCCCCCTTTCCCCTGCTCTACGTCCTGGCCCAGCTGCAGAGCCAGACTCTCAGGTTTGTGTTCTTATGGCCTTCACTCTAGATCCACATACCTCCTCTTATTCCACTGTTTTATTCCTGAACTGTTCACCTCTTTAAGTGAGAACTGTAACAGAACCAAAATCAAACCTGCCTTTGATTTCAACACTCTGATCTCTGCCAGGTGTTGGGAGCAGCCACCAGAGGGCACCTTTCACCACTTGTCCATGGACACCAAGGAGCTGCTGGAGTCGGTGCTGACCACATTGGGGCAGCTGGTGGGTGCAGAGGTGGCGGCGGCCCCCAGCAGCTGGTCCAGAGCTCTGTTCTGGCTCTACAACAAGATGGAGGAACTGGACTGGACCGTTCGTTTCCACCTGAAGCCCGTTTGGGGGGAACACTTTAAAAACGAGGTTCCCACGTCTCTGCTTACTGTGTGTGATCTACCTGAGCAGGTAAGAACTCTGTTATCACAGCCTGGGCTTCGACACCGTACCTTTTTTTTTTTTAACAGAAAGCATGTGCTAAGAAATGAGACGTTACCAGGCAGGATGAAGGATGCTACTTGCTGCAGCATATGAATCCAGTGTGTGGTGGAGCTTGACCCATACTTGGGATTGAAAGTCAGCACACCTCTCCCTGCTATGACCGTGCTTTTTTCACTGTCTTTTTTGGAAGTGCAGTGCTAAATTGCTGGATTCCTCCTCTAAGCACATGATGATCACCAACTAAACAAATCCTACAACCTCTATAAAAAAGCTGCAACTACTATTCACGTCTCCATCAACCTCCACTAAGCTGCTCCTACTTTCAGTAGTTTATTTTTAGGGAAGACTGAAGTGTGTACTCTGTTCCCCACAGTTGACATTTTGTAATGACGGTGTCTAATTTTAAACTCCAAAATCTTGTCTTTATTATTCATTGAGAACTGAACTATATTTGAGCCTGGACATCTCATTTAAACTTGCATCTAAAGTGGAGAAAATAACAGGTTTGGTTTCCACAATGGGTGCAATTTGTTTAGATATCATTGGGGAAATCCAGTGATCATAAATGAATTGATTATTGACTAGAAGCCTGTGGGATTGTCTTTATTGTCTTTATCTTTGTCAGTTGCTACTTTTGTCCACAGTAACTGTCCGTTAAAGCTACTGGGACTTTCAAAGAGGGATGTTTCTGTATGTTTAACTGTGTGTATGTTCTGCGCATGCTTTGGGGAAGGAGCCCTGGAGTAATGTTCATGTAAAACTTGCCAACTCTCAACCTCTGGTCACCAGCAGGTCCGAATGTGGACACATCATTTATTGAGGTTTGACAAAGTGACAAAAGTTTGTCAGTTTTGTTACTGACAAGTCAGAAGGAGGATTGCATCATTGGTGTATCCCTGCTAATCTGTCTTTGTTCGTATCTTCTCTGGTCCCGTCTCTCCCCCCCTCTGTAGGAGTGGTCAGGTTTGGACCTGCCTCAGTATGGCCAGGGCACGGGTCTTTTGGCCTGGATGGAGTGCTGCTCTGTATCAGACTCCCTACAGTCCACCATGTTGTCCCGTCTCTCTCTGGACCAGCGCAAGCCCGACCACGTCAACATGTTCAGCAAAGGCCTGCTGGTGGCTCTGACCCAGACCCTGCCCTGCTGCTCCGTCTCCCAGTGGACCAGACTGCTGAGAGTCCTGCGGGAGCTGATCTCCTCAGGTCGCCTCCATGTTCCCTTCTCGCTCGAGTACGTGGACTATCTGCCACTCCTGGATCTTAGGAGGTTTTCGTGTGAGCTCCGCCTGTCTGTCCTCCTGCTTCGAGTCCTTCAGCTGCTCTGCGGGTCCAGCTGCTCCCACTGGCTGTCAGCGGACGGCTGGGCGCACGTTGGCAGGTTATACGCCCACGCTGTGAGGGAGATGATAAACTCAGTAAGAGCCAAGCTTCCTCTTCCTTCATCTGGCGCTTTGACGGCCTCTGCTTCAACGCCTCCTAAAACGCCAGCATCTAAAGACTCCAGTTCATCCTGCACTTCAATCAAAACTCCTAAAATGTCCAAAGCCTCTCTGAAAGACGTTACACAAGCAGAAGGTTCTCCTCTGAACTCCAAAGAGTCCCAAATGGAGGTGGAGGTGGAGATGGTTCCCAGCCAGGAAGTCCTTTTTGTACTCAGCCAGCTCTTCTGCCATGTTCAGCACATCCAGGTTTGAATTTTATAGTACAGCTGACAGGATTATTATATTGACATTGAAATTAAGCGGTTGCAACTTAGATCGTTGAAGACATTTCCACCTTCACAATGCCAGTTTTACACTGAAGGTAGAGACAACAACAGTGCGTAGCTAAAGATCATGGAGTTAGGGTTGTTATAGATAACACAAAGATGAACAAACAAACAAATATAATTATAATAAGTTGTTTGCCTGCAACTTGTCTGCTACTATCTCTTACATATTAGAGATGAACTAACTGGAGTATTGAAAGGCCAAATAGCATTTTTGACATTCAGTAAGGATTTAAGATGCCAGTAGTAGTGATAGGCCGAATAATCGGTGTGGCATCATCTGGACACATCTGCAGGCAGCCATGTCAGTGTGGCTGCTGTGGAACGACAGCATGAGTAAATATCGACATCAGCATTTGAAAACCCCGTATCAGCCAACCACGAGCCAGTCGATTTATATTTTGAAGGCAAAAAGTTCCATTCAGTAAATTAGAATAGCCTCCTCTCCTGTGTTCATTTTCCTAAATCTGGATTAAATGTCCCTCTCCCAGGTGATGATGCCAGGAGGCCAGTGTGAACCGTTGTTCCTGTCCAGTCTGGAGATCCTCAGCCACTACGAGGCAATCATGGCCGCTTTCCCTGGCAGCAGCAGCCCGCTGGAGAGCGACAACACCCGCCACTTCTTCTCCACCATCACAGACAACCTGGACAACCAGGAGATGAAGGCTGTACTGCGTCAGAAGATCGCTCAGCTCGTGTCATCGGCAGCTTAAGATGCACCGATTTTTCTTTAATGTTTTCCATCAGGGCTCTTACATGGGTTTGCTGATAAAATAATTTCACTTGTCAATGTTGTACGCTGCACTTGGTTAAATCACAGAGTGATGCTGAGGAGTCTGAATAAAAAAAGCCTATATTCCACAGCAAATGTCTATAATGCTGCTTCAGTGATATTCATTCTGTTAGAGGTTCTTGAACAGGATGTGGTGGCTGAGATAGTTTGCTCATTTCAACTAGAGAATAAATGTGCAGTATAATTACAAATGTATGTACTGTGCACTGCGTATTCCCTCGCTATCATCATCAAACCCTTCAGGAACAAACCAATACTATCAATACATAATTAAATCAATTTATTGAGTTTTGTCACATAGCAACAGCAAAATTGACATTATGATGATGTAGTGCACGACAAACACTGAACTCAGCCGTCTATGATCATTTATTAGGGGCACAGTTAAGGGGGGGGGAGAGAAACGAGTGATTTAACAAAGATAAATTTGACTGTTTAAGAAATTCAGACTATTTTGAAAATACAGTATGATTCATAGAATTCAGAGGAAAAGTGTTTTGAGGATACAGTCAATATTTCAAGTCACAGCATTTGAAAAATAAGTCATGTAATTGGAATTAAGGACAAGTAATGTTTCAATTAAAAGTTGAAAATTTACAGAAGAAATCAAAATTAAGAAACAGTAATATTTTGACAAAGTTAACACATTTACAAGAAAGCAGACGAGAGAAAAATGACACGTTACTTTATTTTGAAATGTTAGACCTTTCCCCCTCAAATTATTAATGCTGTTTAACTTTAAATGTACAACTTAATTCTAGAAATATTCAAACCTTTTCTCCTATTACTTATTCTTGAAACCTTGTATATTTTTAATAGTCTGTCGTATCTTTATTCTTAGTGGAAACCCAGCGGTTTTATAATCAGGTGGACTCAGCATGTCCTCTGCTTGTCTTTGCTTCAGTCCCCCTACCCTCTCTTCTGTCGCATGTAGAGTCTGTTCGCTTTCCTCAGCAGCAAAATAAACCAGTAGATCTGTGGAGCCAGGATCACCAGGTTACCCACGTTGCACTGCAGAGGCAGGTGGAAGGGCACTTTGTGCAGGGGAATCCCAAATTGCCTGCCGTACATCCAGTACATGAAGGGGAAGACCAGGATCCGACACATGAAGAAACTCAGGAGGACAATGATGCCGTTGATTCTGTGCAGCCTGGTGTTGTCAAGGCCCAGCTGGATATCCAGGAAGAAACAAGAGAAGGAAAGAATGTCAACAAGTAATTTTAAATATTTGTTTCACACACACACAGGTGTCAAAGTAAAAATATGACAACAAATGCTAAAGCAGATGTTTCCATGCAGGGTGCCAGGTCTCACTAAATGGTTTGAAGAGTATGAAAATGATGAGAATCATATTGTCTGATTTAACCTTCACAGTCACCAGATCTCAACCCAACAGAACATCTATGGGAGATTTTGGAGCCACTCCATGACCATTTCTTCTGGAAGATTTAAATATGCTGATAATTTAACTCTAAAAATTACAAATTACAATTAGAAATAATGCTGTTTACACTTATAATACATTAGTAGTGCCAATACTATATACAAATATAAAAGACAGGATCCACATTTGTACATGTGTTATTTTATGATCATGCTTATGTACTTTTATACTGAGCTTATAATTATACATTTAATTTTTAACATTTAAGTACTATTTGTAATGCAGGACATTTAATTTTAACAGAAAAGTGTCGCCCTGTGGTTTTGATTGCTACTAAGTAAACCATCTGAATTGCAAGGTATGGCTAATTTCCTGCATTTATAAACAGCACTTTTACCCAAAGCTCTTTACATGTGGCATCTCATTCATGCACACACGCTCACACACAGATGGCAGCGAGCTACCACAGAAGGTGCGGATCTGACCACCGGGAACAATTAAGTTGGGGTTAAGCGTCTTGCCCAAGGACGCTTGGGCATCAGGGTCGGGGGATCGAACCTTCGACCCTTTGATTAATGGACAACCTGCTTTTCCTCCTGTGTCACAGCTGCCAATTGTCCAAAATTCAGCTGGTGTTGAGTCTCTGATGGGAAATGTGCCCGCAGGAAATGACGCATAAAAATGTTAGTGTGAATTATTGCCACTGACTCCCCCAGCTGGTCGGACCTTCAAACATTCACTGTGGAACAGCTTTATGTTTCTAAATCTAATCCTAACGGTGTGAAATCACTGGCTAGCAGAGCTCTGACGGTCTTTGTGGGGAAATTAAGATGTAGAAACGCTTTATAGAGATGAGGTCCACAGGGTTTACCTGGATGAGAATCTTTCCTATAGACACGAAAGGAGTGCTGAACTCTGTGGTGAACAGGCAGCCGACGAAGAAATCACCCAGTCCTCTTCTGAAGAACTGCAAATCAGACACACTGCACAGTCAGCAGACTCAGTCAGCCCCTACCGGGCAGCCTTTACAGTATGTGTTTGTGTGTGTTCATACGACATATATAAACAAAGTGATTCCTCCCCGTACTCACCAGAGTGATGGGCGTGAAAATGAGCAGCAGCGTCATGTGATGGAGGACCAGCATCCAGTCCTTGCTGAGGAAAGCCTTCACTGTCTGAAGAGAGTGGCTGCTGTATGACCCGGAATGACCTCTGACCCTCTGAGTGTGGTAGTGGCTCAGATACATGGCATAGATGTCATGGGCCATATAGGGAGCTCCGAACAAAACAAAGCTATTGACCAGCCAGTGACTGTGCATGGTGAGACAACAAGGACTTTCACTGAATTAACATGAAATGACACTAAACTTGGGTTTTGGTGTTGTATTGCCACAAACGCTGCAGACACACAATGCGTTAACTGATTCTCTGACTTCACTACTGTCAGTTCACTGAGTGCTAATGTTCTTCATAGTGATGGAAAGTCATAAGTGAGTCTCTTACCTGTCAGTCATGGTGTCCCTGCAGGACGTCACAACTGTGACTCCAGCTGCTGTAGCCAAAGAGGCGTGGATGGCTGAGACCAGCCTGAAGAAACAGTCAGCAGAAACGACCTTTCGTTTTTTTTTGTCACTCACAAAAATAAAACTGAAACACATCCTTTAAACACACAAAACTTCTTTGAAATACATGCTCATTTATTTGCTGTCTTGCTTCTCGGCACCAGTGCATACAAGATACCTTCAGTAGCATACTGAACCATCTCAGTCAGAGCTTGAATGTGGTGTCTTAGACTGACATTATTACCCACATATGAGTAAAAAGAGTAAAATTGTAACTTTTCATACCGCTCATAACACTGCCCCAATGTCACGTTAACTTACTGTTAACTTATGATTATAAATTTACTGAAACGAGCCATTGGTTTATTATATGAGTGCCGAATTTAGCAGATCCTTCTATTTACTAATATAAAACAGCAAATAAATACACACAATATATGTAAATTGATAAACAAGCAAGACAACATTAAATTGCTGCAAGTCTTAAAGGAGTTCGGTGAGGTGAGGTGCTGCTGACCTTTCACTGACAGAAACCACGTCGGCATCACTCCAGTGTGTGAAAGTGTGTTTTAGTCCTTTCCTGAAGGTATAGAAGAGCCCTGGAAACACCGCAGCTCCACACGCCAGGGCACTTAGCATTATCTTAGCCAAACGCTTCCTGTAGCCGCTGTAGCCCGCCTTAATAATCAACTACTGATCAATAACGGGCTGAACAGCTCCAGTGTCAGAGGCTAACTGTAGCTAACAAACATAGACAGCTGTGTTAGCTTGTCCTCCGAGTTTCACTACTGTGTTGTGAACTTCCCTGTCACACGGAGGAGGATCATTTACAGAGCTATAATTGGCTGGAGGGGAGCCGCTTTTAGCCAATAGCAAGGTTTGACCTTAAATAACATTTTGTTTGTTTTCATATCGAGTTCACGCAGAAAATCGTTTTAGGTTGGAAGTAACGAAAAAACATTTACTCACGTTATTGTAGCATCGTTTTTTGTGTGTAAGAACATGTAGGCCTACTTGTTGAGTATTTTTAGAAATCAGTATCTTTATGTTGCCTGAAGAATTGTACTACTTAGTATCAGTTACAGGGTGACAACAGTAGCATATAGGAACAGAAGTGACATGAAACAGTAAGGAAGAAATGTGTGAAATCAGAAGCTGCTGGTGTGTCTGTGTCAGAGCTCCTGTCCAGACAGGGGACACTGAAATTCATGCTACTGTATGAAAAGTGCACAACTATGCAACAACATTAAGGATGATGCCTTATGGGTAATATTAGAATAACTACCTTAATTAATCACTGATTTAATGAACCACCTGGCCAGCAGCTAAGTGACCCAGATCAAACAGGTGAACACATGCTAAATGCCTACATGCTCTTGGTGGATCCTCCAACAATTAAACTGGTTCTGCTGTTGTTGATCATCCCCGTTGTGACTGTAGAGAAAATGGATTTATTGTTGTTTGGACATGAGGGCTCTGTGGAGCAGTTCATACCTGGACATACCAACATTTTTTAAATCTAATGCAGTAACATACAAAAGTAACTCTTTCTATTATGTGTACATATTTCTGTGTTTCTAGTGCTGTGGTTTTGTCATAATCAAACTGACTTTGTGACTACTCTCAACCCCCAACAATGAGAAACAAAGGCATAACTGAACTTAAGCCCACGGGTGGTAAGTATGACCATACTCTGTGGAAAAATAAACACAAACACGCCTTTAAACATCAGTGTACAATAAAAGTAGACATATGCTGTTTGCACAACTTAGACTGGAAGAGGGGTGGCGATTACCTGAAATAAGAGACATACTTGTCATTTGGTGGCTTTCTCTTCTTTTCGTAATTATCACTAAAACATAAAACAACACTTAGATTTGGCTTAAAACAAGATTTGTATTGTAGGATTAAGATATCTGATATCTGATAAAGGGGGTGGGGGTGAGTGAATATATTTCCCTCTGTTTTCTTTCTGTTTAGTCATATTTATTTCGTATCTACAGTTGCTCCACCATCTCCAGCAGCTGGTTTACTTGAGTATCGTCTCCTGTATTTGTGTCAAACACGTGATGCCGGTGGCCACATCTGTCCAGCACCCACTGCAGAGGTTCTCCCCTCCGCTGGATGTGTTTCTCCACCGTCCTTCCTCTCAGCTCCTTTCCGTAGGTGAACAACACCACAGTGCTCCTCCACACACCATTCCCCAGAATGCTGAGGTACATCTCCACAGCTCTCCTGTCTTTCTCTCCGAACGAGGCCACGGGCACAGCCAGCAGGAACCACACTTTGCTTCTCGCGGGGCAGAGGGAAGGGCTGCGGCCGATCTCCATCCTGACCTGCTCGGAATTGGCCAGACAGAACAGACTCCACCCGGGGGTGTCCACCACCGTGAGAGGCCGCCCTGATACTTTCCCGTGCCCTACAGAGCACCTGACGGTCTTTACGTTGATCTGGAACGCTTCTCTGTCCAGGATCATGTTGCCCGCTGAGCTCTTCCCTGACTTCCTCCTTCCCAGCAGGATGAGGCCAAGAGCAGGTTTAGGGTTTACTGGGAATCCTGTAAGGACACACGCTGCAGTGGGTTTCACATTTTACACAACTTACACAGATTTTATGGCGTGTTGATGGTGGGCAAAATTCTAAAAATCTAATCAAAGTTCCTTCCTACCTCTGGGCATATGTGGCCACCCTGAGGCAATCTGCTTCCTTTCTCTTGGCCTCCCATCATGCACATCATGCATCACTGTCATTTCTCCTCTCTCCTCTTGTCTTCCCTGCCACCTCCTCTCCGCCTTCATGCTCAGATCTCGTCTCAGCTGGGCGTACATCCTGTACTGGATCTCCCTGGGATGCTTGTTGGTCTCCATCATCTTTTGGATCTTCCCAAAGAGCTCAGTAAACTGAGCATCTGAGGCCTTGGATTGGTTGTTCATAACCTGGTACCTGTTCCCACATCGCTCCAGCAGCCACTGAAGAGTCCGACCTTGTCGCCTTATGTGCTCCTGGATAGGCAGGCCCCCTGCAGCAGAAAGAACCTCATTGGTTGAGTTAAATCTCAATGGATTAAGAACAATCATTTTAGAAATAAGGGAACAAGACTGAGAATCTAAAACAAAATGCTTTACTGTGAATTTGAATTGCAACCAGTTCAACCAGAGTTATTTTACATCTCACATTTATGTTGGGAGCCATTTTCGATGTGCCAAACCCCAAGTTGGAAACCACTGGGAAGACGGATGAACAATTCAGCAAATGACTATAAACGGACACAAAACCAAACCAGGCAGCACTGTCCTCTGGCCAGTTAGCAGTGAGACACAGCATAAAGACGACCCTAGTAGTACATGATCACGTTGGGACCACACAACATACAACAAAGAGGAGGCAAAGCCATGACAAGGAGGCCTCAAGCATTAACAAAGAAACAGTGCCAAAACCCCTCTGCTCTGTTAAATTGCACCAGAGTGTGAGATTTTAGCTGAATCGGTTCCACGTCGCTGGGCCTTTATTCGTGTTTGTTTTTGCCACTGCAAGTAGAGCCAATAACTGCACGGTTACAACTCCAGAACATAAGTATGCTGCCTTGTTCCCGTGAGAAAGGACAACTACTGTGTCTTGCCATGGCCCTTGGGATTGGATGTAATTGTATTTGTGTGTCTTTCCATCTCTCTCTTCCTTTACTGACCCTCACACACACGCACACACACACACACACACACACACACACACACACACACACACATGCTGATTGTGTTTAGAGTATAGATAACAGTGATTTATTGACTGAATGTGTTGAACATTAATCTGTGCTGAAGTTAAATAAGTCCTGTCATACATTTTATAGGTTGTGATAGTCAGTGCTCAGAACAACCCTTCACTGTCCACCTCATTAATGTTAAGTGGAGAACCCCTTTTTTTTAAAGGACTGTGTTTGCTCTTTCCCAGGGTTGTCCCTCATAATTATTAATATTTATTAAAACTTTAAGTAATATATATTGTATTCATATCACTAAATATCTTCAATATTTGCTAATAAGCAAACCTACCCGATCCCAACAATCTTTTGTTTACCTAACTTGTCTCCGTGAGTGAAGAGGACCATGGCTCGCAGCCAGATGGGGGTTTGGAGCAGTCTGAGCTGGGCCTCCATGGCCTTCCACTCCTCATGGCCGAAGGTGGAGGTGGTGGGCAGCACCAGCAGGATGACATGAGGCTCCGGGTGGCAGAGGGTCAGACCTCTGCGGAGCTCCTGGGACACTCTGTCTGGAGTGGTGGAGTGGGACAGCCACCCTGGGGTGTCCACCACTGTCACCTGGTGGATGACATTTAGACAAAGTGAGTAAAGACCAGATTTCAGAATCAGAATACTTTATTGATCTCTGAGGGGAAATTCTTTAAATGTAAAGTTGAATATATTCACTTGTATTCCAAAGACGGTGCTGTTCTCTTTGCAGCTGCGAGTTGTTTTCTTGTGAAAGGCTGCTTTTCCCAGAATGGTGTTTCCCGCAGAGCTCTTCCCACTTTGTTTCTCGCCCATTAACAGCATAACTACCCGGGACAGGCTCGGCTCTGGACCTGACAGGCATTCACGATCTTCCATTCATACACACACAAACACAGTTGCCAGCAGTCTTTTTAAATTGCTGCAATAACTCACCGTATGACGCTGCCATGTAAAGGCTCCTGTGTTTTGTAATCCACTGTTGGCGTGTGGTTCAAAGCCTCAGTCTGAAAGACCTTGTTCTGGTGAACTGAATACATCCACAAATCAAGCTTTTGCTGCACGTGTGCCACATGATTGCTTTAGTCATAGTTTCAAAGTTCACAACAGAGAAGTTCCTGAGAAGTGGTCAAAAACATGACTCAGACTAAACACACATAAGGTGAGGATATAACAGTAACAGTATGAGAACACTGTTAAATTCACTTTTTAAAAGGAGCTCAGCATTTCCATTCATTACAGTAACACTGGCGCCACCCATAAGATATTCTCCATATATATATATATTGTAACTTTTCTACACAGTATTGGACTCTTGGAATAATGAAGTAAAAACCTTGTTTTACATACATATTTTTTATTATTCAATGTCATTCATGATGATGATAAATCAATGATTGTTTGAGGAATGATGCTCTCATTTTCTGTGGAATACTAGGAACAGGACTATTCGTGTCAGACTTGGTATAAAAGATTTGAACGCAAAAAATGGTCAACAAATATTCTGCATTTCATTTTTTTGTTTCAGTGTGAAAAGGCTCTTCCTTATGATATTGGTATGACCAGTTAGCTTATGGTGCTAACGTTAGCTAAGCAAACTTGTAACACTTGTAATGATTATTGACAGAACTATGTCATTTGGTACATGTTTTAGTTAATTTCAGCTAATTGCTTAATTGTTTAACCTGGAGTCTTTCAGACAGAACACAGCAGTTCTACTTTACATTTGAAAATGTTAAGTTTATTTACAGACAGTCACACAGTTCAACATATGAAGATTGTTGTTTCTAATCGTTAATAATTTTACATTTACTTGGGTTTAAAATGAGCATTTCTTTTAAGGACATTCTTCTCTTCCTCTTCCAAGAAAAAGTTTTAGATATTGGCATGTTGGCTTCAGAGGAATTAGTCCTGAATCCACAAATAAAGGTATGGAGTGTAAAATGGTTGAAGGTAAGTAAGCACTGTTCTGCAAAATGAAGCACTGTTACTTCCAATATTACAGAATGTGTGCCACTAAGTGAAGTGACACCAATACATCAGTCTGATGGTGTGAAATTCAGGTTGAATTAATGTTTCACTGCATGAGGTTTAGATTCCACATGTGTATATATACAGTGGGTACGGAAAGTATTCAGACCCCTTTAAATTTTTCACTCTTTGTTTCATTGCAGCCATTTTCCAAAAATCAAAAAAGTTCATTTTATTTCTCAGTAATGTACACTCAGCACCCCATCTTGACAGAAAAAAGACAAAAATGTAGAAATTTTGGCAAATTTATTAAAAAAGAAAAACTGAAATATCACATGGTCATAAGTATTCAGACCCTTTTCCGTGACACTCATATTTAACTCAGGTGCTGTCTATTTCTTCTGATCATCCTTGAGATGGTTCTACACCTTCATTTGAGTCCAGCTGTGTTTGATCATACTGATTGGACTTGATTAGGAAAGCCACACACCTGTCTATATAAGACCTTACAGCTCACAGTGCATGTCAGAGCAAATGAGAATCATGAGGTCAAAGGAACTGCCTGAAGAGCTCAGAGACAGAATTGTGGCAAGGCACAGATCTGGCCAAGGTTACAAAGACATTTCTGCTGCACTTAAGGTTCCTAAGAGCACAGTGGCCTCCATAATCCTCAAATGGAAGACGTTTGGGACGACCAGAACCCTTCCTAGAGCTGGCCGTCCGGCCAAACTGAGCTATCGGGGGAGAAGAGCCTTGGTGAGAGAGGTAAAGAAGAACCCAAAGGTCACTGTGGCTGAGCTCCAGAGATGCAGTCGGGAGATGGGAGAAAGTTGTAGTAAGTCAACCATCACTGCAGCAATCCACCAGTCGGGGCTTTATGGCAGAGTGGCCCGACGGAAGCCTCTCCTCAGTGCAAGACACATGAAAGCCCGCATGGAGTTTGCTAAAAAACACCTGAAGGACTCCAAGATGGTGATAAATAAGATCCTCTGGTCTGATGAGACCAAGATAGAACTTTTTGGCCTTAATTAAGCGGTATGTGTGGAGAAAACCAGGCACTGCTCATCACCTGTCCAATACAGTCTCAACAGTGAAGCATGGTGGTGGCAGCATCATGCTGTGGGGGGGGTTTTCAGCTGCAGGGACAGGACGACTGGTTGCAATCGAGGGAAAGATGAATGCGGCCAAGTACAGGGATATCCTGGACGAAAACCTTTTCCAGAGCGCTCTGGACCTCAGACTGGGCCGAAGGTTTACCTTCCAACAAGACAATGACCCTAAGCGCACCGCTAAAATAACGAAGGAGTGGCTTCACAACAACTCCGTGGCTGTTCTTGAATGGCCCAGCCAGAGCCCTGACTTAAACCCAACTGAGCATCTCTGGAGAGACCTGAAAATGGCTGTCCACCAACGTTTACCATCCAACCTGACAGAACTGGAGAGGATCTGCAAGGAGGAATGGCAGAGGATCCCCAAATCCAGATGTGAAAAACTTGTTGCATCTTTCCCAAAACGACTCATGGCTGTATTAGATCAAAAGGGTGCTTCTACTAAATACTGAGCAAAGGGTCTGAATACTTATGACCATGTGATATTTCAGTTTGTCTTTTTAATAAATTTGCCAAAATTTCTACATTTCTGTTTTTTTCTGTCAAGATGGGGTGCTGAGTGTACATTACTGAGAAATAAAATGAATTTTTTGATTTTTGGAAAATGGCTGCAATGAAACAAAGAGTGAAAAATTTAAAGGGGTCTGAATACTTTCCGTACCCACTGTATATGTGTGTGTGTGTGTATTTTCCAGACATCTAAGGGATAAGTCCTTCCATTGTGATGTGGGAGCCTCCAGGGTGTCCCCCTATGAACTATTCCTGGCTGCTGGACCTATTCATGGCATCATGAGGCTGCAATGCTTGGACCACAGAAATAGGCCACGTGTGGATAACGGAGCGGCAGGAAGTAGGCCACGCACTTCCATAATGATTACTGAGCAATCCATCAAAAGAAAATGGTGTGCGTCTCTGTGGCGTTAAGCTGATAAGAGAGCCAGTTTGGTGTCTAACCCAGGATGAATTAGATCACTAAAGTGTGATTTTACTATGTGCAGTAGTTCAGTTTCATTACAAAAACTCTGGCAGCCAAATTATACTTTTCGAAACAATTAGATAAGTATGACTTTCTACTGGTTGAAACACTTTGCCTGTGAAAGAGCTATAATAATTATAATTCATGTCAAGTAGGGTTATTTTCAGTGCAAAAAAACTGCTCAGTATTACAAAACATTTTGCATGTGAATGGTTTCCTTCCTTGTTACATTAACAAGCTTGTCCCAATGTCTTATGATAGATAGATAGATAGATAGATAATCTGTCCATCACTTAAATAGGAATTACTTTAGAAATGGATTTCTTTATGGCCAGAGTGAACAGGAGGAACATACAGACATAAAAATATGTTTCAGTGTTCATACAGTGTGTGCATTTGAGTGTTCTTTTAAAACTTAAAATACTTTTTACTTCCATAAAGTTGGGAGGGAGAGGACAAAGCCACCAGGGCCTGAACACTTGCCTAAGCTCGTGGTTCCAAACCTTTTTGACTTGTGACCCCTTAAAATGAAGTGCTAGTCTACAGTTAGCCACTCCTCATAGGTTGCTAATATCTGCCGGTTGTGACCAGTTCAACCAAAGAGTCATTTCCTAGCTTTATTTGAATATTATTTTAGTCCTGAAGACGTAAAACTCCTGTTAATTAGGGCTGACAATATGCAAAAAAGAATTAGTGATTATTTTGACAGATATTGTGGTATGAGTCCGGCTTTTGTTGGGTGAGAATGGTCATTTCTGCATTTCATTTTCACTGAATAAAATATAAAAATATTATGATTAGATTATGATTAGATTTTTGGGGTCTAAACCAAACAAGCCTGTTCTCTTACATTTTCAGAATATGATTTGTAGGCCAGGGCATCTCTTTAGCACCAAAATGCTTCATGTATGGTGTAACAAATTTTACTGTTAGGATTACTTGCCCTACTGTCACAATCATCTTGTGACCCCTCAGATTGACCCTGTGACCCCATGGCCTAACTATTCCACTCTTGTTTAGTTAACACCTGGCTTTTTTTCTTGCTGAATCGGACTTCTTTACCCATTATAAACCAGTTTTTCTTCTTCCTGTGCAAGTACAGCATCTGTTACAGTCACCATGTCTGTACACTACGGTGCAGATTCTCCTTCACAAAAGCTAAAAAAAAGACAAAGACTCAAAGTAAAACCACTGTTTTGTTAGCTTTTATTCATATATATTTATATACTCATGTGTTTGACTGCCACTGTTAAAAAGTGTGACTCATCACATTATCACCTGTAAGCATAAATACTAACTTTTTTTTCTCTCTTGAAACGTGGGAAATAAACCAACTGAAAACAGTTATGGGTCATTTTCAGCACCATTGAATAGTACATTCTCTATATTGCATCGGGATATAAAAATATACAGATATAGTGTTTTCTTCTTTAAAACATTCTTTCCGTGTTGTTCAATGGCATGAAACAAGAGAGGAAGAAAAGACTGTTACCGTTATTATCGTCTATATCATTAATCCTTAGCAGATCCGTACCGGACCGTCCACTCATCCATTCACAGCACTTTGAAGACATCAGTAGCAGCCACACGTGGGAGAAACAAATGAAATAAAACACATATTACAGGGTCGTCCTCTGAAACATGTAACACTCACAGTGCCACCGGCCTCCCAACCACTTTCAGAGAAACAAAGAGAGAGGAGAAGATGCCAACAGAGATGTGGGAGTGTTGTAGTGCAGTGGAAGGGAAAGCCATGAAAACCAAGCAGGCCGGTGGGCTGTAAGCTCCTTGTAACCATGAGCAGTCCTGTTACAGTCACACACTAAGCACAATTTATCCACAGTCCAAAGTGGTAATGATGATGATGCTCATGGTGCTGTGGTAATAACCCCCTGCTCCGAGAAAAAAAAACAAAAACAAAAAAACCCCAACATGAATTCAAAGCAGAAAAAAAGTCCTAAATTGAAACCAGTCAGTTTTAATGGTTTGAGGCAAACGAGAAGATCAAGAGTTGAAGAGAAAAAAACGAAGGCGCGGTTAGGAAGAGAGTTCGGTTCGCAGTGCATAGAGAGGAGACAGAGACGGATTCACCGATTGGTCGGTCAGATGGGATTATTGCCGAGTGTCAGCTTTGCACACACACACACACACACGCACACAGCAAACACACACCTCCACCCAGAATGAGCAAGACACGAGAAAGAGAGAGAAAGAAAGCAGGGCTGGTTGATCAGGTTCCTGTGGTTTCCAGTGTTCCCCTCTCCAGCTCTCTCCGTGGAGAGAAGCGGCCTCCAGGCTGCTGGGAGTGCTTGCCTTCGTGTGTGTGTGTGTGTGTGTGTGTGTGTGTGCATGTGCGTGTGTGTTATATATGTCCAAATACAAGTCAAAATAGGCCCGCCTCCGCCAACACTTTAATTTTCCATCCATCCATCTGTCCGTCAGTCCGAGCGGTGCTGCGGCCCGTCATCCTCCAGGAGGCTTCACATCCGTGAGGAGGAAGCCAGCTCGTAGAACAAGACGTAGGCGTCGCTGCTGCGCACTTGGCTGGAGGACATTGGCGTTACTCTGGAAAGAAAGAGAGGGGAGATAGGTTGTGTGCGTGGTGAGAAATAAGAGAGTTCTGGTCAATTTAACTCATGCAGTGTTTGGCATCTATAAAGACAATATCCATACAACATTTAAAATTCTGGGTCAGTTAGCCTCTGAACCATTTGTCACCCCCTTTACTTACGGACTGATGGTAAAGTCACTACATGTCTTGGCTGAGAATGTCGTTTATGTCATTTTCAGAATAAGATCAGTTTACATGTCGTGGTACTACATAAATGTCCACAGGTTTTCAACACACCAAACTTCGACTGTTAATTCCATTATTTCATTTGGGATGAACAACACGTTCAGTTGAGTTGTTGACCCCAGGGTTCCCATCATCCTTTGTGTGTGAACAGGAACTATAATGTTGCCATGTGAGTCAGTTCATATTAATTCTACACAGTATATACTACATGCTAATCATCACAATATACTAATATTTCTAATAACTATTGATATTTTGGTTTTCCAAGATCTTTCTGGATCACCACCACCCACAATTCATAGATTTGTATTAACTGTGAGCGGCTCCTCCACTTTGTGCATTGCATTGTGGGAGAGTAGCGTGCATCAACACTCAGAACTCCACCATATCTGGTTTGCATTCTGTCTGTTTTGAGTATACTTCCTTTTGTCACCTTTCCAGTGTGATCATACTACATACTCGAAACCTGCTTAGAATCAGTTTGTACTCTGGATTTGGGACACGACGAGTGACCTGGCTAGGGGCTACACCTAAGCCTGCTTTACATTTTGGTGAAGCTTCACAGTCAAAAGTCATGCTGCGAAAACTACTACCAGATCCTGTTTGCTCTGTAACCACAGAGGTACAGACAGCAACCCGGATCACCTGGATTACTGTAGATACTGGTGAAAAACAAGTCTAAATGTAGTGATTATGAGGCAGGATTTGGAGTTTCAAGAAGCACGTCTTTTCATTCAGATACTAATGTTAGTAATCCCAGCAGTGAGTTCCATGATTCAAGGGGCGCAAATGTGAATCAGATTTAAAGGGTTAACGGTTAAACATTTGATTTCAAATTTAAAGGTTTAGCAGAACATTCATTCTTGATCAGATTTGTAATGCAAATACTGAAAACAATAAGTGCAGCTGCAGGATCCCACCTCAAACTCTCAATAAATTCAGACATCCCCTGGTATTTTATAACTATTGCTGAAAATTTGAAACTTTTAATAATCAATTAATTGTCATTGTTCAAGCAACAATTGCCAACATCTGCTAGATATCAAGTGGTGAAACTAGATACACAGCTGTGTTTCATTAGGCATTATTTCATAATAAATAAGTGTAACCTGGACAGTATACTATGTACCATCCCTACCATTTATGTAATTATGTACACCAACTAAAAGCCAAAATCAGTTCATCTCTTTTCCAGTTTTACAAAATGTTTTCAGCACACCTCATATATGATATAACAGCTGGAATAGCATGTGTGTAGTCATGTGCGGAGAACTACGCTCTGTATGGTAATGTCCTGAAGCCCTGCTACAGTGTTACACTGGCATTCAGCGGTGGTGGTGTTGTGAATGACCGCGGCATAGCAGGACGAAGGCCGGGGGGAGAAACGGGATGCTCACGAGGCAGCGGAGGAGATAAAGGAGGATTATCTGCACCTCCGTTGCTGCTTCACTCACTGTAGTTTGCATTATGAGTGGTCACGGTAACTACTAATGTAGTCAGGTTATGATGTTGTAAAAGATTCATTATGAATGATTTATCTCTTGATACTAATGGGTAATTAATACGTTTTTTCACTCCAATCAACTCCAATAATCCTGTTTATGATCCGTTTCATTAGTGTGTTTACATTCTATGCTTGTTGAGTTTGCATGAACAGCTGACATTTACTCATAATTGGTGATTAATCGTAGCTACACATGCTTGCGTGAAATTCAATTTGTAATAAATCATACAGCAGTACAGTTGTATGTATGTATACATGCTGTTCTAATACCAACACAATTCTAATGAAAAGCTCTCCACGCTACGTTTGATAACTGTTTATTAGTGGACTGAAGGCAGCTGAAAGTGGAGACCAAATGTTTTGAAACCACATTGGTAAATTCACATCTCTTGACTGATGATGACGATGACGGGTGTTCAAACCTACCTGGAGTCGTTGAATGTGTACCATTCTCCCGAGTTGGGATTGCGACAGTAGGCTGTGTAGTGACCGCCCATAGTGGTGCCTGAGTGATTGGACACTGCATACAGGTTGTACACTGCGTTTACTAGAAGAGGACAGAAGCAAAAACAAGTCTTCTTTTTTAACAACATTTTGCGCAGTATATTTGAACCGAAGAACTGTATTTTTGTCAGTGTGGAGAAGAGACCCTGGAATAGCTTTTAAATGATGTGACACTACATCTCCACTGAAATCAAAGCACAACAACCATATATACTAATATAATAACACATGAAATACATTACAATCATGTTTGTTACTTACTGCTGTTTTCGGAGGCGAACTCCCGCAGGTCAAGGTCCTTCATGGGGAAGTTAACAAAGGTGGAAAGTTTGCTGGTTCTGCGTGCCTCAGAGAAGCGTTTCAGGTCTGGACAGACGGGAGGAGTCAAGGAACAACTGCTCTGTATATACCTTTTAACACATGATGCCAACATTTGTTACATTTGTGTACAAGGTTTCTTACTAGGCTGAGACAAGAAACCACAGCCAATTACACAACACTGGGCTTCAAATACAAGAGTTTCCTGACTGTATAGAGTTTTTACTTGCAGTGGGTTAAAGGAGCCACCACACGGGCACTTACTGAATCCTTTTTATTCTCCATGGACATGATATGAATTTCCACACATTGTATTTTCTCTGGTAAATCTCACAGTAAGTCTACAATTGCAATCAACTACTGTGTACTACGGTGTTGCCATACTGATAATAATACACTCTCCCACTGACACACGCACCTTCAGGCTCACTGCAAACATTTAATATAATACATCAAATCAGACACTAATGTCCGGAGGAAAGGATACGCAGCACTAAGATCTTGGGGAACTTCTGTATTGTGAACTTCTTGGTGCATCTCCTCCTGGCTTTACACCTGTAGCACGTCTGTGGAGAAGAAATACAGTCTGTTCACTCACTACTTAAACTGCCACTTTTAATCCAGCAAAATATGGAATAAAGAGACACAATAAATGCTTGATAAGCAGCATATCTCTTTTTCATGTAGCTAATGATTCTGTTGGTTCTTGGACACGTACCGGCTTCTCGTCCCCGTCGAGTACGTCTTCTTTGGTGAAGAGCCGCATGCAGTCCATCAGACTCACCTCACCATAGCCCTTCTGAGCACAAACATAGATGCATTCACATTAGCATACATACAAGCAACCAGACAACACACACACACACACACACAGCCACACACACACACACACACACACACACACACACACACACACGCACACACAGCCACAAAGCAAAGCACAAACAGAGACAGGGAGGAAACCAAAAAGCTCATGTTAAGAGCTGTGGATAGATATTTATTAATGCATCAGACATTTCAGCTTCAAATCATCCTGAGAACATGTCTGCAAAAACACACAGACAGAAAGTCACCTCTGCACTACTGATCGACATTTGTGTCTGTTGAACTTCTGGGATGACCAACATCCCCCTGTCTGTGTTACATCTGTCTGTGCGTGTGTGTGTGTTTCCTAACCTTGGCGATAGGTAGAGAGAGATCCCAAAAGGGGTCGAAGACCGTGGAGCAGAAGCCACAGTGGCTACAGGTCAGAGAGCTCTTCAGCTGCCCCACAAACAGGTCTGGAAGAGCGAGACAGATTACATGAGAAAAGACATGATGCTGAGCACTGGATCAACATGAAACACACTGAGAGAAGAATCTGTTTGTCTTTATGCTGATCATATAAGTTTCATATTTCTAGATGTGGGTTTTTTTGTGAAGTCCGGACTAGAGGGTGACACGGGAGTGGATTTTCACTCCTGTCCCATCCCGCTTCAAAATTATCCTGACCTGCCCCAATCCAGTCCTATCCTGTACCTGATATTCATTTTAGAAATGTATATTTATGTTTATAAAAAGGACGTATCATTCAATCCCAAAAACATGTCAGCCTCTAGTCCAGACTACACACATGTTTGATATGTAAAACAAATATCTCTTTAAAAGATTGGCCTATAAAGCTACAAACAAGTCCAATTTCATTACAAGATTCAAAGTATCAATCTCTAAAAAAAGCTAATAAAAATGGATGCATTGATGCATTTCCACTTACCGACTATCTTACTGTCTTCTCTCTCTAGATATTTACTCCACATCTTCTTCCCTTTCTCTTCATCGCTGAACATGGAGCACAGATGAGACATTTAGACTGTTAGAATATTAGATCCAGTGCAGACTGACTGAGACGATGGCCGAGACAGACGGAGACGTACCGATGATAACGTTCAGCTGTTTTGTTGATAATGAAATGGGTAATAGCAGAAACAACAGCCACTACTTAGGGACCTGACCTACTTCATCATAGGTGTTAGAATGGATTAAAAAGACACTCTCTACCCTGGCACACATTTTCAAGCTGGAAATAATTATTTATCTGCATTGTTTTTATATATTTAGTTTATTGAGGTTAATACTGAAAGTCAGATTACCTCTGACCCTTAAACAAGCCGTGGTTAGATGACTGATCATTATATCTAAGAAGAATTGGAGCATTAAGCTGATCTGAGTCCCAGAGAGGCAACAAGTCAACACAGGAGGTAAAGCGGTCGCACGCAGCCTTAAATGAAAGTATGTATGAATGGCCTCAACAACGGTCCTGATGCTCCTACCGTTTGGTGTCTTTCAGAGGTTCATTTCATTTGTAACATCCCTACTTTCACAGGATTTCTGGGTGTTTCTGTCTGTTTTGAGGTACATCAGGTCCGCTGATCCTGTGCAGAAAGGTGCAGGTGCAGGTACACACACACACACTGTCTGTCAGGCAGATTACTTACGGAAGGTGGTCGAAGTCCTCTACTGTGCCTCTCGGCCTGACAGTCACCCTGTTCACCTCGTTGTGCAGGCCATCCAGGAGGAAACGCAGGAACTCCTGAGCATCCTGTTGGCTGCAGGACACAGAAACAGAAATATCAGCTCATCTTCCTGTGTTCAGACAGAGGTCATGTGAAGTGCTTGGAGTGAGGAGCGTAACAACACTTACTTGTATCCCACGAATCTCGGAGCGTATCTCTGGATCTGAGTTTTGAATTCAGACGGGCTGACCGCCTCACTGCTGGACGACGTCCACATGGTCTGCATCAGCTTGGCAAATTCTACCAGAGCATAAAAACACTGAAGTTACTCACACACCAGGACATAAAATACATTTGACAAATTCTACCTGTGAAACTTTAACTTATGCAACTCATTGTCTAACCCTGTCTCAGATTTTATGCAAACCCCATATACTTAAAAGACCCAGAAAAGCCTACAAACAAAGGATCCCTAACATGTGTTCTGAAAGATGCAGATCTAATCCAGAGGTAAAGAGGAAATGAGTGTGTTACTCGTGAGCAGCTGTGAGAAGTGTTTGATTTGGACTCTAGGGGGCCCGTGTGACACGTCTCTCACCTTCCATGAGGGCTGTGTTGGTGCGGCTGTTGTTGTTAAGGTCTCTGCGGTGCGAGTTGTGCAGGCAGTAGTCTCGCAGGCTGTGTGTGTTGCTGAGACACTGCAGGATACTGTTCATGAAACACTGCAAGGAAAACCATCACAAACAGTTTGATTCCCTTACAGATGAAATAACACCGAGCTCCCTTCATTTGCAGGAAAGAAAAAAAAAGACTCTCTATACACATTTAGTTTGCCACAGACATAAATATCTGTCTTCTGAAGATATAATCTAGTTCAAATATAACTATTACTATTTGACTTGCTTGTTGCCGGGCTGATCTAGCAAATCACTTTCTTGCCACGAGTTAGATGCCAAGATTGATACCACTCTCACATCTGTATGATTAAGACAAATGTGGCTGGTAAGCTTAACGTAAAGAAAGAAAACTGGGGGAAAGCGCCTCTAAAGCTAACTGATGAGTTTTATCTCGTTTGTTTAATGGAAGTATACAAACAACAACAACTTGAGACTGGAGCTAGCAGCGGGTTAGCTTAGCTTAGCATAATGACTGGGAAAAGGAGACACATCTCATGTTTTTAACCTGTACAAAAAGTGTCAAAACATCAAGTTGTGCTTTTACAGGCGGGGTTATGTGCAGTGTTTCTCGGCTGGGCGCCAACATCTTGGAGTGTCCACTGGTTGCCTGGCAACCTCACTGTGAGAACAAGACCACAAGAAATCACTGCACTGGTCCAAGAAATAGTCCTGCACACAACGCCCCATAAAACCACACTGTGTTGTTTTCACACTTGGGTTCTAGTCTTTACGCTAAGCTAAGCTAAGCTAAGCTAAGCAGCTGCTGGCTCCAAACTCATATTTACTACACAGACATAAGAGTGGTACTGATCTTCTTATCTAAGCAAATATGTGTATTTCCCAAAATGTGCTTTAAGCTTACTTACATTTCATTACAATCTGATTATACTATTCCTGGATATAACCTGACGGTATGCGCTGCAGTCATGTGATACATGCTAACAGACAACATAGTATAATATAGTATCATTTTCTGCTATATTTGAACGGAAGATCACTCCTGACAACAACCAGTTAACAGTGAACATGTGACAGTCTGACCTTTATCATATTTAGCTAAAATTACATAAATGTTGCATTTAAAGATGTCTTGTAGATCTGGAAGTGTATTCATTCATTTTGAAACAAGACAAAGTGAAAGGACCCTAGAATAATCACTGGCTATAAAGACGTATCTCAAAGCTCAAAGACAGCACTGTGTGTGTTCTGCTCCCATCACGTGTCCACATGAGACACATGCAACGTGGTGAGATCAAACCAGTCAGAGAGAGAGAGAGAGAGAGAGAGAGAGAGAGAGAGAGAGAGAGAGAGACGAGCCCTCCCTGGTCCATAGTTCAGAGCTCTCTGATTAGGTTACTGTGTACACACACACACACACACCACACATCGTTTATTTTGGGAGCCATCTGTCTGCCTGTTGCCTGGTAGATGGACACTCGTTGGACCACCACTCTTGTGTTTTTTCGTGGCCTCCACCTGATATCAACAAACTGCCATCAGTGTAACACAGTATTGGATTATGGGAATTTAGAGCGAAAGTCTTCCTCCACTGTTGCCAGATGTTTGGCTCTAGACAGATGTAATTAGGCGTATATGTGGCTCCTGTACTTACAGTGTTTCCTAGGTTCTTTAGTCCCACCAGGCCCTGGGCACTCTTTGAATTCTGAAAGACAAAAGACAACATATTTAGATGAAATTTTAAAGGCAAATCCACCTTATATTCTTCTTTTTCCGTATTTAAATTCACCCAAGAATACAGACATGTTCATCTTGCCAAAACATAATCTTCCAACCATAATTAACGGTGAAACTGTTTAAATGTCCAGAGCCTGGTTTTTATTCCAGGAGCCTTGTGAACAGGGAAAATTAAGTCCAAATACCCTTTTAAATACCATGTTGCATTATGGTGTGCGATGGTTTTTAACTTTGACTTAACTTATTACTATGTGTATAAATATTACATTTTCAGCCTGTATTTGCAATATTTTACCATGAATTGATCAGTAAGAGATGAACAAAGCCCAAATATAGTCTCTGATGAATACTGAAAATTAAAATAATTTTTTTTTTCAGTCACTTCTGTTTTAGTTAGAGATGGGAACCACTTCTATTCAACTGTGACTGCAGTGTGAATTTGACAAGACACCTCTAATAACTTAATCACATTTAAACGCATTGTCAACACTGTGTTTTTTCTGTGTGTTGTGTTTGTAACCCAGAACTGTAACGTATCCGGTATCCTGAACCACTTTCAGGCTGGATTTGTACTTCCCCCGAGGAGCAGGAGAATCAGCAAAACCCGGACATGTGACAAAGATGTGATCTATCTACACTTGCAGTTGAATCTGGGTGATATGTGTCGTGTCCATCTAGGAATGAGGGGAGCATTATCTTTAGAGAGGAACTTGTTTTTGTTATCTCTCAGTCACTTCCTCTCTGGGTAATCACTCCCAGATGGCAGAGATCTGATCAACAACAGTAGATAACGAGGGATCGCCGTACCTTAAGGACTTTCTACACTCAAGCTTTTATTATTGCAAATTCTCTGTGCAACAAACCATGAAATACAGACATGTTAGCTCAGTGAAACACAACAGATGGCAAAGCATATTATGATGATTTCAAAGTCTTAAAATGGTACAAAATGTAGAACTTATGTCATCGCTTGTTGCGGTTAAATTTCATTACATAAGTTGAGTGGTTATATAATTGTCGAGCGAGAAGAAGAACTAACAAAGAACACGGGGGTGGAGAAGGAATGCACTTGAGCCCTTGACTAAGGAGCAGAGGCAGCGGACAACTGCACTTCAGAAAACACCATCCACACCGAATTTAATTCATTTTTCACATCATTCTATCCACCAACCAACTTTATGCCCTGTCAAAGCACCTGTTATACTGATACTGATGTGATATTACATAAGCTATTATAAGATCGAACTACCGTCAAAAACTGAGTTGGACTCCTCTACCAATTTTACGTATAAAAAACAAGTTGAGAAACTAACAATGTGGTAACTTGAGCAGAAAGCAACTCCGCAGGGCCGGCATCTTAACAGCAGTCATCTGATCTGACTGGCAGTTGAAATCTATCTTACCCACATGCCCCCGTGTTACTCTCACCTGTGGTAAAGCTGGACTCTCACACATAGAGTCTGTCAGGACCACCACGGAAAGTGAATTGAAGGCGTGTTTAACCGTTCACTGACTAAATCAAACAGAGCATGAGAAGATGAAGGGGACAGGGTTGTTAAAGGGTGAGTTTTAAAGCCCTAATGAAGGAAAGTGTATATAAAAAGTAGCCGTGGCCCAAAGTTCTCATCTTCTGGTTTTAAACTCTAGATGATGTCAACAACATCTACAATTCGTGCTAGAGAAGCTGGAGACACATACTTGTGTATGAGCGTGTAAGTCTTGCGTTCAGCAGCCTCACCACACCCTGGACGTGACCCGGCAACCACAGCTGCACGGATTCATCAGCGCACATGAGTAGGCCTCTATGATCACACCATTCACAAAGGTATCAGCAGCCTAACGGTGTCAGAAGGCGTTATGTGAGTGCGCTGGGAAATGTTTTGAATTGTTACAGTCTCCTCAACCTGCTGTGCATCAGCATGAACAGTAACACTACCAGGGTTCAGCTGATCAGGAGATGGCAATATTACGCTCCATCATTTCTATCCAGCAGAGTGTTTTCTCAGCAGAAGTGGGACTAACACATTCTTACAATAAGTAGCAGATTTTTTCATTACTGATTAATGTGCCAATTATTTTTCGGATTCATCAAAAAATCTAAACAATAAGCTGAAAAAAATGGAGCTTTGCAGAGCTGAGGAGCGGTACAGAGTAAAGAGACTCTGTGGGTCAGCGTGAGCACATTTAATCCATTGTTAATATAAAGATACTGATAGTGCAGCTTTAAAGAACTGATTATCAAAATACCGTAGCTGTCGAGTCAGCTGTCGGCCGTTTCAGCCCTACACAGAAGAGCTTCGTTGCATTGCAGGTTTAGAGAAAGGACACTGAATGTGACGTTAGTTGTCCTGTCCTGAGCTCTGCTGTTAGCCTTCTGCAGGCTGACATGATCGGGAGCGTGTTCGTCTGTTCATCAGTAATGCGAGCCTGCAGCTTATCTGGTTATGAGTGCTGATCCAGGAACAGCTTTTTACTCTTACATAAATAACCTCTGCCATCTGTTTCTTATTCATGAGAAAGAGTCCGTACAGCATGTGGAGGGGGAAAACCTACTGTTTAATTAACTATGGCTTATCTAAATCCTCCTTTCTGTAAATTCCACTGTAGTGAATGGAGCACTTTATTAGCCATGGCCATATAACATAAACACACAGCCCTCCTGTTGTGTATCCTGCTTGACTAATCCTGTTGTGTGTCCAGCTTCAAAAATCCACTCTGGTCACCTCAAATTTTACAGACACACAGCCTCTCCCCACCACTGGAATGCGTTCGTCTGACTTTGCTGCACTCTGCTGAGTAATGCCACGGCCGGTCCCAAAAATAGCAGCTTTGCTTTTAATAACGCCTGCTTGTCCACTCGCAATTGGCCGATCCTTTGGCCGGCCCGGCAGACGTCACGGCGATGAAGCAATGTCCTGGGCTCTGTCTCCGTAGCAACGCTATTCTTATTTTTTTTGCGGGATGGAAAGCTAGAGGACATTGTGACATCAAAGTGACATGGCAGAGCATGGAGGAGTGTGTGTGTGTGTGTGTGTATGTGTGTGTGACTCAGTGTGTGAGAGAGTTTCGAGTGTGAGGAGCCGGGAGTGCATGACTTGGAGCAGATGGGACTTTTAGACTGGGATTATTTTCAGGCCAGTTTTTAACTCAACACTTCACTTGTGTTTGAAGGCACCGTTTATAGCATCATGGGACGCTACAGCGCTCCACTAAAAGCCATACTTATTACATTATTTTTGGTGAGTTTCAAGCTCCTTCGGGCAAGGTGAAGCAGCTTTTACAAACTGTTGAGGGAAATCTCCCACACCATACTGTAGGGATTTGATTATGGGGAAAATGATTATTCTACTACATCAACTAATACTGGTCAGGGATGAGCATTATTTATTGGAGGTAAATGACACCCAATTCAACAGCAATCATGTTTTTTTTCTTCTTTAATCCTACTACCTCTATTCATTTGACAGTGTGTAAATTGCAGTTATAATCCAAGACCTTAAATCCTCAGCAAACTATGTCAAACAGGATTCTTTTATGTATGTGTGTCAAGATCCATGAATTACTGGCTCAAGCTCTGATCCCAGCCTGTGGCATGACTGTGATGACAGCTAATTCCACTATGTGAATTCTGCTGTTCTTTCCTTCTAGTTTTAACACAGTATGCGGGTTTAATATCATGTATAACAGTAAAGCCAGACCTGTGTAACATTTTAGCATATAAGGGGGGGGGGGGGTGATACAGGTACAGAGGTGCATCATTTCAAAAATTCAAGTCAGAAGTTTATAATGAAATCAAAGCTGCTAGACGTTCAGGTAAGAGTTTGTTTTGCAATCCTGTCATGACAAATGCCCTGAAGATCTATTTTCTTACTCTGTTTCTTACTATTAGTACAGTATTACCAAAGTTAATCAATCTTACTAAATATTAACTAAGTTGTTGTTGTTGTTGAATGTTGTTTCTGTATTTTAATTTTGCTTATTTAGTCATGAATATCTGTTGTTATGGAGAATAATCAAAGATATGAAAGTTTTCAGGGGCTTTAAAGTCAACACTACATATTCCAAAGGCTTTTTCATACACTAACACTAACATATATCAATATACAACAAATATCTTCTCACAGCAAAAGAAGCAGCCTGTGACATTCAAATCACCTTAATGTTATTTTAACCAAATAAATGACCATTCACACACCACCACCAATACTCTTAAAGTATATATACATAATCTATCGCAGAACAAGGTAACACAACGGTGATTGAGCCTCAGGCCCACTGATTAAAGTATTGCATATAAGCAGTATTACAGACTGGATGTCAGAGGCGACATTCCTAGGAAAAAAATGCTGTATTTAGGTAAAACCAAACCAAACATTGGTACTGCTGCAGCTTCACATTTAAAGAATTTAACTGGTGAAAGATGAGTTGAGTTTTATTATGAAGTAGTCACAGGAAATGCAATGTGTACATTTGACTACCTCCCCATTATTGAAGGTAACAAATAAAATGCTAAAAATAACTATTTTAAAAATATATGCATATAAAACATTTTTCCTTTGGAAAATGCTAAGTTGATGTACAAATGATGATATATGAGTTGTAAATTAGAGGAACAGATACTGATCCAGATTAAAAGACACAAATCACTCTGCATTTATGTTGTGCATTGTTTTTTATGAGTTACCTAAATTGACATTTGTTTGTAAATACTTGACTGTTCTAATCCCAGTCTAGTGGGTTAAATGAAGAATTAGATATCACCTGTTTCTGTGACTTATATATAGATCTTATTGTCCTTCCATATCAGTGGGTTCTATTCCCAGTATACAAGCTAACTTGTAGTATGTATATACTGTATATCTGTGTGTCGATGCTATGGAATTATATTTTTCTAATGTGTTTGTAATGACTTGACCTGCCGGCAATTGGCTTCATGTGTGTTTAATCAAGTCCTAGATCACTGGCCAG